GTCGCGGTCATAAGCAGCAAGTCAACTGTTCAATGTAAACCATTCATCGAAGTAGGCGTGCTCAGATCGAAGGGGGCGTTTCTGTGAATGTTCACATTAAGTCCGAAGATCATCCATCTGGGGATAGTAGTTATCGACAATGTCAACCGCCACCTATGAAAAGGTACCCCGACATAGGATCGAATTAACATGTCTTATGTACCAGTGATTTGGAATGGTATTATTAAAACATCTTACAATGCCCAAGAACCGAAAATCTTCATTGGAGCGATGAAAAATAGATTTCGGTTTACTTTTTAGGTTATCTTGGTGATAAACTATTCAAATTTTTTGTGTTTGAAAATAAATCACTATTAATGGGAAGAAAAAAATGCATACTCTATATAAATTTATTAAAAAAAATATATACAAGGTAATGAATTTATTCTTAGCTTTTTTTAATGCAATTTTTTAAAAAAAGTAAGATTTTCAAGCCCCCCCCCCGCATTGCCCTAGTGTGCCTATACGTAAAGACGGTACTGCTCGCAGCATCCCTAATTTACATGCAATGTTTTTTGCAACCTGAGAAATTCACAAAGTGACGGAAAACCTGAATTTTTAAACTGCTCCCTGTTTGTAGTTATGAATAATCGATAAAAAATAATAAAGTACATTATCACATAAGTATTGAATTTTATTTTGAACTATAGCAGTTTTGTTTTTATTTTAGACTAATAAATTTTCTTCAATTAAAACATTTATTTTGAATTTATATTACTCAATTATGAACTAAATTTTTTCCTTCTTTCATTCAGACAGCATTGCAGTTTTTTTTATTAGAATTTATTTTAAAATGATTTTTGTATTGCGGGATATGATTAAAAAAAAACTTATTTTCTCCAATGTTTTTTTATTTTGTTAAATCAATTTCTGATATGATAAAAATGGCAATTTTTTTTTCAAAAAAAGTATTAGTTTTTTTTTTTTTTGAATATTTCTAATAATTGAACGCCTTTAATTTTCTACAAATTTATTACTAAGTTTATTGATAAAAAAAATTATAACACTGATGTTTAAATGAATATTACTACATTTCCCATTAACGTGTCAAAGTACAGGTGCGGCCCTTCGTTAGTCAACCTGCTGTGCAAGTGGCCCTTCACTCAAAAAGGTTGTGCATCCCTAGCATACTCCTTCAAAATTTTAATTGACTTTGTTAGTAAGAAATTTAAAAAAGCTGCTAATATGATTTACTTCTCCCAGAACCCTATAAATATGTGAACAAATGTTATATACTAATCAAATGGTACAATAGCACAAGAAAAATCTTTAAATATTTTAAAAAAGTTTCAAATATGTAGGTACCTAAGACCCACTTGAACTTTAACAAAGCAAATCCTTGAATCAAAAAATTTTAGTTTTGCAAAAAAAAAAAAAAAAAATTTTTTNAAAAAAAAAAAAAAAAGATTTTTTAAACATTATCCTTTTTTCTTAACACAAAAAGAATTTTTTTTTTTTAATTTTATGTAATTGTAATTGAATTATTAATGGGACAAAAATGGTATTCTACTTTCTCCTTTTTAACCAAGGAGAATTATATAAACGCAATTAGTAAGTAACAAATAATTATTTGTGATTATTTTTTCTGTTATTTTATTCAGTAAAACATATTTTATTGAGCCTACTTTTTTTTTTTAATTCTAGACTGTCAAAACTTTCCTAATAACTTTAAAAATAAGTTCTAAAAAGGCTTAAAACCTTCAAATTAAGTAACTAAGTTCAGTCGAATGCATTTCAATGCGTAAAATGAAATAAAGAAATTGCATTTAGATAATTCTCTCTTTGTCCTCAACATTCCCTTCTGTGTCATGTGATCCCTCTCTTTCATTTTAGCTGTGCTTTTCAAGGATGGAAAATTTAATAGGGTGTAAAAAATGAGATGTTTTTTCAACAAGATTAAAAAGTTATATTAGAACTCCAAATTTTTAATAATTATGTATAAATTGTAATAAAATTAGGAAAATTTTAACTTCTGAATGGTTTTAAAAACGGCAAAATTTATCCAGTGATAACAGCAGAATATCTTTATAACGTGGGGCTTTACGTTCTATGAAATTTAGTGTGAATCACTTCACTTACCTTCAAAATATTAGTCATGACTTGAAATGATTTTGAATAATTTTTTGATACAAGTACTTTAAAACAAAAAATATGCACTTGGTCAATTATTATTAACAGAACAAAACAAAAAAATTGCAATTTTCTGCTGTATTAGAATTAATAACAAACAAATTAATCAGTTTTGATTTCCTTAGCTTTGGAAATTTTAATCTTTTAACAAATAAATGAAGAAGAAAGTGGGTAGTTCTTGCTTAGTTATAGAAATTTCTTAACTGTATAGTTTTTTTTTTTTTTTTTTCTCTCCTTTGAGATTGTGCCAAATAATGACTTATCTTCAACACATGGAATTCCACATATCTTTTGTAACCCGGATTCCATGAAGAGGCGAAATCGTTCGATGTCAATCAGCCGTCAACTGCGGCTTTTATCACGTGGCTTAAAACAATTAGCTCATCTTGCAACCGTTCTATTTTGTACCTCATTTTAAGGTAAGAAAAAATATGCATTAAGCCAGATTATGACGAACTGTTCCGTTGTTAATTGTCTTTAGACAATTTTATGACAATAACCATTATTTGTTGCTGGGCTCACCGACATTTCTGTTTCAACAGATTCTCACATCATAATTTAGAAAAGAACAATTATAAGATCTCAAATTTTTTGTTTTTATTACATTTACTATAACAGATTTAGTTTCTGATTTTATTGGAATGAAGTGAAACCTCATCATTGCAACTTTATTCGCAAACTTTTTTTTAATACCATATATTATTATAAACGGCTTGTGTCAATACATTTTCGATAACCTTGTCTTTATTTTTGTCACAATACACTTTTTTGATGTTTCTCATGGAGCACCATTGAAATTGGAAACACTACATTACACTTTGCACAAATTAAAAGCCAAAATAGCATTAGATTCAAGATCGTTTCGTTCTTTTAAGTTGCAGGAAAATAGATTTTACCTTTTAAATATTTTTATTTATTTTTTATTTTTTTAATTCTTTTACTCTACAGACAACAGAAACATACATGAAAATAAGTTCAAGGCAAATATTGCAGATCAATTTGTTATTTTGGCCCTGTTACATTCATTTAAAATTTTTATTTGGTTTCGTAAATATATATATATTCCTTGAAAATGTCAAAGTTATTTTGATCTGCTTATTCGTTTCATTTGGCTTTGACAGTGTTATGGTAATGAACACGATAAAGTGAACTATTTCATCTGAAATGTTTTGCAGTGTTTCATCTAAGTTAACGAAGTTGAATGTTTAAAACTTTATTTCTCAGGAACTGTTTGAGGGATTTCGCTCAATTTTTTTTTATTTTGTTTTCAAATGATGTAAAAATGTTTATACAATTAAAATGTTCTCCACTGTTATTAAATAGAGTAATAATAAATTATTATTGAAAACTATTTTTTTCACGGAATTATTTTTTAATGTAAATGAATTTTATAATTGTGTGTAAAAAATCCTTCCATTTTCGCAAAATCTGACGAAATACGCAAAAAGTAAAATGTTCAACTTTATATAATTCTGGGAGTCTGAAATCATAATCCGCCGAAAAAGATTACTTCAGAGGAGGATGTACGTTTTTGTGACTCATTACGTAACTTTCTGCACTAATTAATTAGCATATTTGAAGTTACATTCTCGCTCGATTAATATTGAGTACGTGAAAATCCGGTCATTAGGTAAAAAGTTATTCAGAGTAATTCATGTTTTTTTCATTTTTTTATTTTGCGCTTTGTATAATTTAAAAATATAATTTGCTCTTTAGGCTTTTTTTGTTCTTTCTTTTTTTTTTGTCAGATATCGCAAATATATAATCCGTATTTGTAAAAACATTGGACAAAAAAAAAAAAAAAACAAANAAAAAAAAAAAAAACGTAAGGGAAAAATTTACAACCAATTAATCATATCATGCCACAAAAAGTTAAAATATCGACCTCGCTAAAATTTATACAGATGATTGGCTTGATGTCAAAAAGAATTTTTCTGTGTCTAAGTTTTCACAAATCGTTCTTTTTCTATTATTTTTTTAATTCACAATTATTATTTTGCTATAAAGCAGTAAAAATATTTAAGGAATTAAAAGTTAATTTATAAGATTAAAGAATGTAGGTTTATTGTTTTCACTTTCATTTATTTATTTATTTTAGCTATCAAATAAAGCAGAGATTTTGGTTAAAAAAATAATTATTTTTTCTTGCCAAAATCTACAGATCACTATATATATAATGATCTTCATCACTATATATATAATGATCAATATTTTTTTTAAACATTGCCCGCAACCTCTATTCTAATGTCTAAGTTCGTATATATATTNAAAAATAATTATTTGTTCTTGCCAAAATCTATAGATCACTATATATATAATGATCTTCATCACTATATAATGATCAATACTTTTTTTTAAACATTGCCCGCAACCTCTATTCAAATGTCTAAGTTCGTATATATATTCATTATTTGCTAGAGTAATAAAGGAACTTTTAGATCGTAAGTTCCTCCAATTTCTTTTCACACAAAAAAATATGAATATATCTGGAAACATGCATATATTTTTCAAGATGTTTTAAAAAAAATTAATTTAGTTGCATTGTTAAAAAGTATTTGACAATTGATTTTAGTATTTCACTCACTTTATTTTTCTCAATTCTAATATCGATAAAACAAAAAGATTAAATAGAATTTTGAAATTTAATAAATATAAGTAAATAAAAGCAATAGTGAAAGTGTTAAACCCTCGAAGAATTCCAATTTTTTCTTTTGAAAATATCAAACTGTTTGAACTCAGATTTAAATATGTCACAAAAACACGTCAAACTTGACAGGTTTATCGACACCTTATCTCTGAGTACACTAACTATCACCATAAATATACATGTATCGATAAAAGAACATCTTTATTTGATGTAAATTCAATTGCCTCTAAAGTTTTATTTCAAGTGCTGTGTTTCCGATGACTGGTAAGTAAGACTATTTTATTCCTATACTGACTTGTGTCTTTTTGAAACAACGGGAAAGAAGTATGACCGTGGTCTGGTACCTAGTATAAACGAGTATTTGTGAGTCAATATAATAATATTTTGAGAATATCCTTAGTCAGAAAAAAAGAGTTATAAGTTTTTAAAAATGAGGTGTAAAAAGTACGATATATGCATACATATTTACATAAATAACACAATAAAGAGAAAAGGGATAAAGATAAAAACGAAGAAATCAAGAAAATTAATTATTTTTATTTACTGTGCAGCATAAGCCTGCAAGTAGGAAGAACGGATATGATCGTGTGGGCTGATGACGAGATTATATCTTTTCATTATTTAGTTTTCCGACTTTTTAATTAAAAAAAAATGTATTTCTTTTTTTTTTAAATATTTTTAAAAGTATTTTATTTTAATAATTTTTCTTCTTCTCTTTTCATTAATCTTCATTATTTTCCATGTTTTCTCGAATTTTAAACTTAGTAATTGTAATTGTAAAGTAAATCTTAGTAATTGTAATTGGTTAATTAAATAGGTCGCGCGATTCTCACAAGAAGCAAGAGGGAAAAATTTCTTACTTTTAATGAATGTGTGGCGTAACTACCACCATAAATATTAAATAACAATTCCCTAGTATATAAGACAAGTTAACTTGATTCTATCTTGAGGTACTTTTTAATAGATGAAAGTTGACATAGTCGATAATTACAACCCCTCATTGGTGACCCGGACGTGATTCGGTATTTAATATTTATAGTGGTAGTTATGCCACATTACTCCCCTTCCAGAATTTTATCTGGGATAGAATTCGATGAACGGATCTCACTTCTGACACCTTTTGATAGATGAAGGTTGATATAGTCGATGATTAATACTCCAGAAATGCATTAAAAGGATTTACAGAAAAGGAATTACATAAAAAGTTTAATTGAGCTTTTTATACATCCTCCCAATCCGAAAAATTTTTAATTACCATCTAAGTTTGTTAAAAAAAATATCTATTTACAAAACTTTCCCTGTGATAGAAGCACAATCAAAATAAACAGAATAAAATTCGTAATCTCACATTACAATCAATATATAAAAATAGTATGAATTACAAAACACATTTAAATAAACAAGATAATAATTTAACACTGTGTTACTAATTTAACACATAATTCACTGCTAAAGGAATATAGAAAAGCAGGCCAACTTTTTGATTTAAAAAAAATTTTTAAATAGTTTTTCTGACTCTTTGTCAGCTAAATTCAAAGTTTATATTTCTTGATAACAGTTTTTATCAATAAATATTGTTCTTCTTCCATACAACTCTAATTTAAAATTGTAAACTTCCAGATATTTTTAAAAATGTAAATATTCAAAAACATGACACATAAAAATATGAAAATACAAGTTGGCATTCTGTTAAAGGAAAAGTTTCGATCTGAAGTTTGACTTCAGTTTTGTTTATTTTGTTAGAGAACACAATTTTAAAAAAAATGACACTTCGGTCTTTATTCTGTAGTTTAAGACTTCGGTATTTTCATTCTTATGAAAATATGACACTTGTAAGTCTGATGTTAATCTTACCTTTTTGGGTTCAATTCTTATTTTCCTTACATCATATTTATCTTTAGAAAAAATATCTGAAAAATCTTCTAAAATAATAAGTTGAGAATTTTTTTTTATATCTTGAATTTGCATAATTCCATCAACATGATTTTGACAATGCTGCCCCACGTTATCACAATCAGTCTCAAGAATATCAGAAAATTCAAGATTATTTTAAGTTTTGCTATTTAAATCTTTATTTTTAGTCTATTTTTTGTTTAATCTTTCTTTAAATTCACTCTGTTTACATTTTTATTTTTGTTTACTCTCAAGTCCAAAATTTTATTTTCTTTAACATCTTCATTATTTTGTTTTTATATTTAACATTTATTTTCTTCCTTCTTTTATTTTTCTTTTCTTTCTACTTTCTTTATTGGTATTTTCATTGCAAACATTAACCAGGATTTCAGGAGGAATGTGTAAGGATGAGCTGCTTTTATAATCAGAAAAGGTGATAAGTCTTCTCAGATTTTGCATTACAACCTGTTTAACACACTTAGTCACTAATTGAAATCCAAAACAAGCTTTCAAATTTAAAATGGTATAAGGTAAATCAGTTTTTAATTTTTGACTGATCTAGCTGTTTTCCTTATTTTTAATCTGAAGTGCAAATTTGGTTAATTTGCAAATTACCTTTTGTTTGTTTTCATTTATCTTTTTTTTCTTTTTGGACATATAATTTTTCGAAAATATTTGTTGGGATAATATTTAACGTACGATTTGTGTTGACTTCAAATCAAATAGATAATTTTATTAGTCACAATCATGTATTTGTCATTTTTAATGTTTTTATTTCTATTTTGAAAATATTTCGAGCGTATCCGGATACTATTCATAGTCAATTTGTGTTTGGTCACTTTATCTTTATGTTGGAATTGACTCTCTCTCTCTCTCTCTCTCTTATAAACTTGGTCTGTTAATGGAAATACCTGAACTTTATCCGGGTCTATCTTCATTTAAATTCAAATTTTGAAAACTATTTTATTGATTTTCAAAATTATTTATTGCACTATTTTTGGTTACCACATTTAATTTATAATTTCTGCCACACTGTAATTGCATTCATATATTTAAAATTAATTCCAACAATTAATGTAGTTACATTTAGAAGAGAAAAATTATTAACTATTTTAATTGCATTTTTATCTTAACAAAATTTAATTTTATTTGAAACAAAAATTTTAATTCTACTAATTAATAAATCATAGAAACTGTAACATGTAAAACAATAAAATTGAAAATAATTTCCCCAAACATTTTTTATGCCAATCAAAACAATCAATTCACTGAAAATAAAAATTTCTCAAGAAAAAAAATTTCAATAACAGCAAATAAGTTTTCGAAATGCAAAAATAAACATATCTGTTTAGCAATGAAAATAATATCAATGTAAAAAAAAATATTATTTCAATTGAAACATCAAGAATGAGAAAAAAAATTCAAAATTACAATCATAATCTATTATTTTCAAAGTAAATCCGTAAAATGTCTCGTTTTAGGGAATAAGGGAAATCTTAATAATTGTAATTGGTTTATTCAATCGAGCGCGCGATTCTCACAAAGAGCAAAAGAGAAAATGTCTTGCTTTTAATTAATGCATGCTTGAGCCAAAAATTTAAAAGTGTGAGAAAGCGTTTCGTTTTGAATAATAAATTAAGAAAGGATATTCAGTAAAACACACACACACAGATATATATATGTATATGTATATATATATATATGTATATATATATGTATATATATATGTAACATAAAAAGCTTCNTATATTTATATATAAATATATATACATGCAGGGTGCAGGGAGTGGGAAAAAATGGAAACACTTCTATACTAATACATTTTCTCATGATTCTCCAGAAAATGCTAAACGAATTATTATATCCAGACAAGCATATCAATGACGATTTAGGCTTTGAGGAACGACAATAAATTACAAATGAAAAAAAAAGTGTTTTTGAACACCCTATGTCGAAAAATGTAGCAATCGATTTGTAACTTGTGACAGTTATTTTGGTTATTATATGCTTACTTTACTTATCCTCTACGTGCCTTTGGGCACTTAAGGCCTCTAGCATATCCCACCAACGCCTATTATATACAATAATTGCAAAAAAAAATTTAAGCCTAGCTTGAATATTTATGGAAATATATGGACAATTTTATTAAAAACTAATCTTCTTTTTCTTACGTTTTTTTTGCTCTAACTTTAAAAATATTTAATAAAATAGTACAAATTTTTTAGAGCAATTTAAAATGAACTATGCAATTTTTACTTTAAAATTTGAAAATAATTCGCTGAAAACTGCGCGTGGTACGAGTCATTAAAGTAGTTATTTTACACCGTGCATGCTCAGAACATTTTTATAAAAAAAAATTATTTTGTGGAAAATTTTGTAGAAAGTTTTGTAGAAAAAAAAAATTGTTTTATACCGTGCATGCTCAGAACACTTTTTAAAAAAAAATTATTTTGTAGTGAATCGTTTTTTGCAACTAACGAAAAAAGTCCGATTTGAACATCTTAAAAGTTTCAAGCAATTTTCAAAGTAGTTTTTTCACTTTTTAAAAGAAAGCTCAAAATGATAAGGGGTTTTCTACAAAAATTATTTTGTATCAATAAGACAGAATTTAATAGCAAAGGATAAAACCCTACAATGAACGCTCATACTCCAAAATGGGATTCAATGAGAAAATAAAACCGACAAAAAATATATACTTTTAAGGGGGATGATCCTCAACTATGCCTTTTCTAATCAATCTTGTTTAATCGTACAAAATGAAATATTTGGAAAACCATTTATCATTTTGAGCATTATTTTAAAATGTACGAAAATTACTTAAAAAATTGCTTGAAACTTTTTAAATTTTTAGGATATTTAAATCGGACTTATTTCATTAGTTGACAAATACGATTCACTGCAAGATTAAGAAGAGAAATGTTTTAAAATTTTTCCGTGCATGCGCCGTATAAAAGAGCTTTTTTAATGACTCCTATCTTGACTCATTTTGAACAAATTTGTTTCAAATTTGAAAGCCAACAATTTATAATCAATTTTAAAATGCTCTAAAAATTTCGTTTCATTTTATGAATATTTTTGAAGTTATAACATAAAACGCAAGACAAAAAAATAAGTTTTATTAATAAAATGTCCATAGTGTAATTATTAGTTATAATATCCTAAATAACTGCCACAAGTTACTAATGTATTGCTACTTATTTTGGCATAGGTTAAATGATTATGAGTTTTTCTGGAGAAATATGAAAAAAAATGTATTAATATAGAAGTGTTTCCATCTCCTGTATATCCAATGAAACCTCTGTATAGCGACCATCTCTATTTGCGACCACTTTCAAGAGGCACGGAATTTTTTCCGAGACCTTTAGGAGAGACTATTTAAACCTCTCCTAGCTACCGGGCAAACATCTGCTCCAAAAACGATAAAGGTCAAATAAGGAAACACGAAATAATATCAAAACAAAAAAATTCAACAAAACAAATAGGTAGGTTAAAATGTAGTCAAAATATTTGCGTGAGGCTCTTATTTAATGAGCTCTTTTTGACGATTCTATCCATAATTTATTTTTAGAGTTAAAAGTTAAGTTAGAAAAAAAAAGCTTATTTTTTCAGAAAAAACTAAGCACCTCAAACAAGTCAAATTCTTCTCATCTTTTAAAGCTATCTCATTTTTGTGATATAAAATTAAATGCAAACATAATTGTTTATTTATTAAAAATAGTTCTATCATTCATAAATAGTAAATATGTTTTTACACATAATTATATCAGTTGGGATCATTTTCATAGAGGCTAAAGTTTATTCATCAAGGAATCCATCTAAGGAATTTTTATGTAAATGTTTTTAATTTATGGTAAGTAAAGATAACAAACAGCTCTCTAATTACAATGATCACAGCTCAACAGTTTCATTAAAGACTTTTTTTAATTTATATGTTAATGTGAATGGTGGTTGTTGACTTCCAACAGGTGAATGCTGACAATCACATAGTCGCCACAGTAAATGTCTGAAATATATGCAAGGACTAGTTAAGTGCTCCTGTCTGGTATACATTTGCCCGGTATACCCTACACTGATGTTTTTTTAAGGTTCAGTGCCACTGCCCGGTATACCCTACATCGATGTTTTTTTAAAGTTAAAGTGCCACTGCCTTTACGCCGATACGCCTTTAACCGGTACTACGAACACTGATGTTTCTCCTAATCCATCCTCAGCAGATATTGAAATATCGAATCAATATAATAATATCAAGGAATAAATAAAGCTGATATAACAAATATTTCTGACATTCACCAAAGTGACTTTGTGATTGTTGACATTCATAAAAAAAGTCGACATTCTCTTGATTTCGGTCAGTCACGGTAACATTCAAAAACCTGTGTCTTTGGAGTAAAAAGAGACTAAAGTCAGTTATTATTATAATAAAAGATCAGTAGGAACAAAATGATGAACAACCAGATGAAAATCTACTAAGATAATTGGAAGAAAAAAAAATTTCGAAAAGGAGAGAAAAATTTTTTTTTAAAAATATTGAAAAGTTGATTATTATTATTAGGTGTGACTTATTATGAATTTTAAATTAGAATTATTTCAACGACAACAATTTACGTAATTTTTTCTATTATTCTATTTTCAGAACGATCTATAAATATTTGTTTGCATGCGAATACTTCCATGAAAAAATAAAATAAAAAAATGAAGCCTTCAAAAAAAAAATAAGTTTTCGATAGCACTAAATTATTTTTAACACTAAATTTGACCATAATTAACATCTCAATAACAGTAATGATTATATTTTGCGACATAAAAATAATTTACCTTTTACTTATTTATTGCGTAAAATGTGTCGTATTTATGAAACATCTTTTAAGCTAAAAGTAAAGACTGAGGGATGACAATTTATGTTTTTCTTTTAAAAATTACATGTTAAAATTTTTATAATAAACATTAAGGTTTTAACAATTTTCACTTTCTTAAATTACACAATGGTGCCATTCGTTATTACGAATATTTTTTTTTCTTTTAGAAATGGCTGTACTCTTTTGGTTGCCTTTATTTGTCTGTATTTACTGTACATATGGTATGTATTAACAATTTTTCAAAATAATTAAAACCTACACTTATAGTATGATGTTTTATAAAATAAAGTTTTGGAACTGGCTATAAAGTTAGGTGGTATAATTAAATATAGATTAGAAAATATATTATTAAAAGTGCCCCACTGATAGGAGTTTTTGTGGTAAGGGGGTGTATTTAAAGACCCCCTCTTAAATTTTTTCATAAATAAAGCAAAAACTATAGGCCATGGGTTGTATCAAAAATATTCTTAGTACAAAATTTACTAGATAATATAGTATAAATTAAATAATATCATACCTGACATATTACTGTTTTTTTTTCCTTCTTTTTTTTGGATCTCCCAATATATTTTTTTGGATAAAAAGACTCTATATATTAAGGACAGTGACTGTGGTATATTAAAAATTGTAAGTAAAATTTTTAATGTACAAAATTAAATATTTTCTTACAAAAACCATAATGTATTTTTTTGTGTGGATAGAATGCCGTAAGAAATTAACTACAGTTTATTTTGTATACTATTTTGTTCTGCAAGAATCGTAGTTATTAAAATATTTAAGACATACTATGAAAGAAAAGAAAGATTTTTCTTTCTCTTTTTTCTTCTTATTGGGAATTTCTAATTAATTTTTGTCTTTTTAATAATTATCTGGGCAATGGAAAATATATTTTTCTTCAAATTGATGGAATACCACAAGTATCTAATTTTTCATCTCTCTTATCTAACTTATTTTTGCATTATTATGAAAAAAATCATACTCTTAATATTAAATTTGTTTTTAGATTTATTAATGATTTAATTATCTCTAATTTTCAAGATTATACTATTTTATTAAATAATATTTATCCCGAGGAATTAATCTTGCTTCGTAATCATGATGATTTAATTACAATTTTCTGGATTTAGGTATTATGAAAGAAGAAAATATCTGCTTTGTTGATTTATACGATAAAAGAAATGATTTGAATTTTAATATAAATAAACTAATTACTTGGAATTCTAATGTTTCTAAAAAACATCTCTTTAAATACCACTTTTGATCAAATGAATAGAATTAAAAGAATATGTAGTAATGTTTATTTATCCAAAAAACAACTATACAAACTCTTTCAAAGTTTGATAAAAAAAAAAACAATGGATACCCAACTAAAGTAATTAAATTCTATATTAAATCATTGAGTTAATTGTAAATTATTGTAAATAAATTTACTAAAAAACCTCTTTCTTAATTTATATAATTTTAACCATGTGCAATTCCGGGCAAATCCATGGATAAAATTATGTGCAAAACAGGCAATTCATGTTTCTTTCTCTTTTCTATTTAATTTCATTTTCTTCTTAAATAAAAGTTCATTTTCTAAAATTATTAATTTCTTTAAATTATCCAGTATAATATTACCTTGCTCACATCCATTTTCGGGCCCATCCTTGGTAACTAACAAATCAAACGCACTTCAGTACTGCAGTAGAAACGCACTATAAAACAAAACACCTCTATTTACGCTTTTACCTCAATTTCAGCTTCTGTTTTCATATTTTGTAATCTGGCAATCTTGTTACGAAAATATTTTAAATCATTCCCTTTCATGCAAGTTCATTTGAATTCGCTACTCGCTCTTTAGATTTCGTTTCATGTTTTATTCCGTTTTATTCTTTTTATTTTATTTTCTGTTTTTATGTGATATTTTTACTTAATGTGTTCTATTTTATTTGTTGTAAATTTTTTGTAAAATTTTTTTGAGTGCTCCTCACACTATTGTAGTGATATATTTTGCGTTGGCTATATTGATACAATATTAGACAGCACTCCTTTTTGCGGATATAATCGTGTGAGCTGATGAAAAGATTATATCTTTTATTTTCCGGATTTTTATTATTTTTTTCCTTTTTCCAGAATTTTTTACCGGATTTTTTTTATTATTTTTCTTTTTCCCTTTTTTCGTTGTTCTGTAATTTTTTCCAGGTTTTCTCTACATTTTGAACCTGTTTTATGAATTCTATTTACTTGTAGCTTATGAGCAGTAAATAAAACAAAACTTATTGTGTCTCTCAATTTTCTTCGTTTTTTTTTCTTTTCGTCTTTTTTGTATTTCTCTATTATGCTATATTATATATATATATATATATATATATATATAT